CAGGTTGGGATTGGAATCGGATTGGTCTTCATCTTCCTCATCAGCAATGCAGCTCTCTTATTGAGATCCCGGCTTCCAATGGTGGGAGTCATGTTAGTGATGGTGCCACTGTTGATGATGTTCACAATAGGTCTCACCTTTGTTGGCGCTTATAAGATGGAGAGCAAGAGGATTACAGCTTCCCCAATGTGGTTCAAATCCAAAGTTTATAACAACAACAAATGGAGTGAGATCAAATCCTACATCCACAAATCTGAAACTTGTGAAGAAATGGCCATCACATCAATGGCACTCAGCTCATATGTTTTGAACATGCAGAACTTGACACCCATACAGGTACATTTTACCTAGCTACCGTCATTTTTACCCCTTTTCCCCCAAAACTAAGATTTACAATACATAATCTTGCCCTCTGCGTGTAAGATTCATTCTAGAGCATCCCTTCCTAAAGCAAGAATGGATTCAATAAAATAAATCTTAATTGCAACATAAGCAAAAATGTAAATCAAATTCAGATCAGATGAATTTGATTTCCTTGATAGTTTCATTCATTTTTTAAGGTTTAGCTAGAGGCAGTCGTGTAGCTCCTACCATTCACACTGGATCTGTCATTGAGCCCAAACTTGAGAACTGTATAATATTACACAAGATTATTATTAAACTTTAGAAGCTCTAAATTCAAAATAAAAAAATTTTTATGTGAATTATTTGAATATAAATGTCTTTCTATATAATTTGTATTTATTTTTGGCCAAAAAAATGAGTACTAATTAATTCTTTCTGTTCTTTCTGTATGTCACTTTTAAGTCTGGATGTTGCCGACCACCCACTTTCTGTGAAATGGAAGCAGTGAATGCAACATTTTGGATGAAGAAGGATCATAAAAGCAACAGAACTCATCCATATGACACAGACTGTGATACGTGGAACAATGATCAAAACATTTTATGCTATGATTGCCAGTCTTGTAGAGAAGGATTTCTAAGAACAGCAGAGCACAAATGGAGGGAGCTGGGGCTGTTTATGGTTACCATGGCTGTCAAGCTCATTATTTCTCATTTATCTGTGTTCCTGGGTACCATGTTGGAACATTAGGATCCTAGCTAGAGCTACAGGAAAGCTGAAAGACTGTTTTTGCTTTAGATATCTTTACTTTTTACTTCTATTTTCTGTTCTTTTTTTTCTTCAGTTAGAATGTTCAGGGTTAGTTAAGTTAGATGTTGTCTTTCTCAGTTTAAACTACAAACAGAAAAAAAAAAATGAAAAGATTTTGAATTTTGGCAGCTATCAAATTAATTTCACTTATTCTTTTTTTTGTCAATCTTTTATCTTCTTCTAGTTTTATTTTCATTCTTTTCATAAGCTTTGCTTAAGCAGTATGTGCACCAAAGACAAGTACTAAAGATTAAAGTGAATTTCATTGCGAGCACCTAATTGATCCAAAGAAGACAAGTGGTTTATCAACAACTATAATTTGGAAGCTTCATGCTCTAAAAGTTTGGTTACTACCAGGATAACTTAATGTTCTTTTATGATTTAGATGGTATATATAATTCAAATTGAACATATAAGGGTTCTCTATGGAATAAAAGGACTGATTTTCTTGGTCACTCTGCTATTGTTGCCATTGTATGACCCTACCATACATGCCAAAAAACAAGAAACTAAAACAAGCAACTAAATACAAGCATAAAAAAAGGCCTCTATGTATAAGTTCGAGATAAATGAGTAATTTCACAGACATGGAATAACATACCTAGCTTGAAAAAACTTCTCAATCCAAATCATAATTGTGGGAGTATATAAGCAGAGACTCAAGGAACTGAGAAGCTATCCAATTTTTTTTTGTTTATAGAGCAAGATGAATAGGAGCAATCATTTGAGGATAATGCACTGCTAGTTCTAGATTTGCAGTTACCCATCTACAATTTATGGATCACATCCGCGGTTCCACAATTGGCTCCCAAGTTAACGGGAAACTAGTCACCAATCATCAAGTAACTGCTTCAAGATCAGAGAAATGGAAGCTATACTTTGCTTTCTGCTAACCCAAAAGGATGTGTACAATGTCTAAATTGAATCATCTCTTCAAAGCAGAATGCAAATTGCAATCTCAGATATTTTGCAGAAAATATGATCTGGGCTTGGGGTGGCTGAAAGCATGAAACCTTTTAAAGTTCTTGGGGTTCATATGATCAGTTATAATGGACTGAAGGGAAGGATCTGAAGGACGGTTTTCACAATAGCCCAACAAACCTTCTGCGACCTTAAAAACCAGATAACCTGGCTTCAACTGAATAATTTTTGGAGATCTTCTAATGACAGCTATTATTCACCCTCAAGCAAGTGGTGGATTATATGGTCCTCCCCATATTGCACCAGGGACAGCTGCAGGTGCAGGAAGATTGCCACTACCATAAGGGATCATTCTCTCTGCTACTTGACTGTCACCCACTGGCATTATAGGTGGTACTACATACCCATCAACATAAACACTGCTACCTTGTATTGGGGGTGGGTATGAAGGATTAGTATTCATGTAGTGACCACCATAAAAGCTTGGCGGTATGGGACCTAGCATCATAACAAGAATTAGAGAGGAAAAAAAAAATAGAAAAGAAGAAAACCAATAGAAGAAAATGACAATTAATATGATCATCTTGTGTACCGGAAAGAAAATTTACCATGTGTTGTTCTCTGCTCAGCGCTCCTGACTTCAGCGTGCAATTTTTCCACTTTCATTGCCATCCCAATTAGATTCTTCTCCATTTCTTGCATTTGCTCCACTTGTGCAATGTTTGAACCCTTTTCATGCTGAAAGGTTGTACTATTTGCCCAAGAGATTAAAAAGGAGGAAAAAAAAAAAGGATTTGCAACCAATCAACAAACCTTGTGGGAAAAGCAAACTATAATCAACTTGCAAAACAGTAGATCAGCTGCAATTCTTAACAACCCTTATACCAAAAGCACATTATATTGATAAGGGAAACACAAAAAGCTTCAATTTTAGATGAGGTACAGCAAAACATTTTGTTTTCAACTAAAAAACTGATTAAAGTTCCTAGAGGAAACAGCTTGTAGGAAACATAGCTACTGAGTTATTTGGCTTACCGTAATCTCTGATGCTCTTTCCTCAAACCGTCAAGTTCAGCCTGCAACTGCGGTATTTTATTAAAATCAGCACGAGTTTTCTGCAATTCCTGAGATGCCTGTAGAATTTGGGCATTCAGTTCTTGTCTGCCTTTGACCAAGCCCTGTACCTCAAGAAGTGCCTGTTGCAGGTCCTTCTTCACATTCTCACCCGCCCTAACATCCACTTCCATCTTTGCAATCTTATCCAGCAGAACCCTGACCTGGATATCACTCTCAGTCTGGATGCTTTTAATGTGTGCCTTTACATTCT